TCATCTTGTAAAGGAAGAAGTAGAGATGAGTTGCCCTAATTTAATCTTTTGGAAAGAGAGAAGAAGATTATGAATTTGCTTTAAAAAAAAAAAAGCCTTTGTTTCTTCTAATTATTAGTTTATAAGCTCTGAGATGTTTTTCTGAAGTGTGAAAATTTTCCAACCTCAAGGTATGAAACACTGAAATACATTTTTAGAAAGAAAAGTACAAAGAATTTGAATTTTTAAAAAGTTATATAAAAAAAGAGGTCTAGTTAATTAGTTGGTGCTTTCATTTCAGATACTGTATCCACATGCTCTTTTTCATAGCTTTTCTCTTTGAAGAAACATTCAAGTATTAGAAGTATTGCTACAAAAGCAATAAATTTTCTACTAGCTTACTGATTAGGTCAGCTTTAATCTTTTGTGAATTGGTATCAGAAGTAAAATAAAATAAAATTTTAGAATTCATACTATGAACTTCAGAGTAAATAGAGTATCAAATACTATACTGACAAGTATATTTTTAATTAGAAAAAATAATGCTACTAATAGTTTCTGGATTTTAAAAAATAATGTCAGGATTATAATAATTATAGCACATATTTATGGAATTCTTACAATAGATGTTTTCTTTTATTACATGTACAAGCTCAGAACAACTATGTAAGGTAGGTTGTTAAATTTATTTCCCTTAAAAATAAGAAAGTGGGACCAGCAGTTGGCGTAATGGCTATGTCACTGGACTCCCATATAGTCAACTGCGGTTTGAGTCATGGACCCAGTGGCTTAAACTCGCGCCAGGTGCGTGTGCATGTGTGCCCAAGATACCGAGAGGAGAACGGAGAAGGGATTGGGACATGGCCATCTCCCCTGGGGGGTGATTTCTCACTTTCTGTCTCTCTGTCTTCCTGGCAAGCACATGCCCCCTATAATGAAAAACTCTCCAAAAAAAAAGAGAAAAAACAAAACAAACAAAAAAAATAAGAAAGTAAGCTTAGAGAGAGAATTTTGGTGCACGTGGAACAAAGGTTATGATTTATTGCTATTGTCATTTAGTGAACACCTCTACATGTGATAACTAATATACGTGAATATTAGTCCTTTAATATGATTTTTCAGAATACACAGAATAAATGGCAGAGTTCATGTCAGTTATCTTTAAGGGTTAATTTACCTAATACAGAAACCAGATAACTCTTTTTTTTTTTTTGGAGAGGTTTTCGCTATAGGGCACGTGCGCTTGCCAGAAAGCGAGAAATCACCCCCCAGGGGGGATGGTCACGCCGCAATCCCTTCTCCTCCATTCTCCTCTCGGGATCTTGGGCACGCACGCACACGCAGTTGGCGTAATGGCTATGTCACTGGACTCCCATATAGTCAACTGCGGTTTGAGTCATGGACCCAGTGGCTTAAACTCGCGCCAGGTGCGTGTGCATGTGTGCCCAAGATACCGAGAGGAGAACGGAGAAGGGATTGGGACATGGCCATCTCCCCTGGGGGGTGATTTCTCACTTTCTGTCTCTCTGTCTTCCTGGCAAGCACATGCCCCCTATAATGAAAAACTCTCCAAAAAAAAAGAGAAAAAACAAAACAAACAAAAAAAATAAGAAAGTAAGCTTAGAGAGAGAATTTTGGTGCACGTGGAACAAAGGTTATGATTTATTGCTATTGTCATTTAGTGAACACCTCTACATGTGATAACTAATATACGTGAATATTAGTCCTTTAATATGATTTTTCAGAATACACAGAATAAATGGCAGAGTTCATGTCAGTTATCTTTAAGGGTTAATTTACCTAATACAGAAACCAGATAACTCTTTTTTTTTTTTTGGAGGGGTTTTCGCTATAGGGCACGGGCGCTTGCCAGAAAGCGAGAAATCACCCCCCAGGGGGGATGGTCACGCCGCAATCCCTTCTCCTCCATTCTCCTCTCGGGATCTTGGGCACGCACGCACACGCGCCCAGCGTGAGTTTTAAGCCACCGGGTCCGGGACGCGAACCGCGGTTGACTACGTGGGAGTCCAGTGACATAGCCATTACGCTAACTGCTGGTTCCCAGAAACCAGATAACTCTTCAAAAGGCATTTTTTACTCTTATTTAGCATTTCTATAATAACTCCCTTGATAAGAAATATGATTTTTAAAATTCTTCTTTAGGAATAATCTTCCACATTAATAAAAGAAATGTAAGTCTAAAATAATCTTACAAATGAGTTTGCTTTGCTATATTACTTCTTGTCCAGATTCAGAGCTCAAATAAGGATTGGCCATATACTATTCAGAGATAATATTTAAAATCTGGAAACACCTGAAGGTCCATTCATAAGACAAACAGGTAAGGCATTTGTAGCATATACATACAACAGAAGACCATTTGACTTTTAAAAGGAAAGGAATTATGTAATATGCAACAACATGGATAAAACTTCAGGCATTATGCTAAGTGGAATAACCCAGTTTCAAAAAGATATCCATTGCATGATTTTACTTGTATGAATACATAAGATAAACTCATAGCATCACAGTGCAACAGTGTATATGAGGGACAGAAGAAGGGAGAAAGGGGAATACTTAACGGACAGCATAAAGTTCAGTCGAATGAGATGAATAAATTCTAGAGATCTGCTGTACAATAATATATAGTCAATGATAACATATTGTAGACTTAAAATTTTGTTAGAAGAATAGATCTCATGTGAAGTGTTAACACAATAAATAAAATAAATCATTAAAAAAGATAAAGATGGTATACCTACAATAAATCTTGAATTTATTTCAAGTCTATATCATTTCACAACTGTTATCCCAGTATGCATGCAGAAAGTAGCTGTAATTTCTTTGTGACATGCCCACTTTTGAACCAGATAATTTAAAATAAACTCTTCAAAGGGTACATATGGAAATGGGAAACTTATGAGAACATATTACTTCTTGGATAGCTTAATTGAGTCTGTCTCTGAATTTTCTCTTCAAAAGGTTAAAAACTGATCAGAAATTTATTTGGGTGAAATGCTTTAAAAACTCAAGAATGGGCCAGCAGGTGGAGCAGAGGTTAAGACAGCTGGATCCCACATGGCCAACTGTGTGGTTCAAGTCTTAGATCCAGTGGTTTGAAAACACACCAGGGATGTGTTCCTGTGTGCCCAAAACCCCAAGAAGAAAATGGAGAATAAGGGATTATTGTGTGGTCATTCCCCACAGGGAGTGATTTCTTACTTTCTCTTTCTCTCTCTCTCTCTCTCTCTTTAGCAAGCACATATGCCATATAGCAAAAAATAAAAAAATAATTAATTGAAAAAAAAAACTGAGGTAAGGTGCATAAAATTTAATCCCACACAAAATACTTCTGTGCACAGTTCATTTACCTAAAAAGGCTCCTTGGACACATTCACTCTAGTAACAAATTCTCATTTGTTGAAATCAAAGGGTAGCCATTGAGTAATGGGAATTGTCTTTGCATCGTACTAAAGTTAACTTCAAATTGAGTATAGAATTAAAAGTGCTGTCACAGGTTTTGTTCCACTTCTTGTTTACTACTTATTTGCCAACTGCAGGATAATACCTAATATTTTCTATTTATTGTGCTATTTTGATGAACTAAGTTTATATATTGGGGTCAAATGGTGGTAGAGCAGTAAAACATGACCCTGAAAGGAAACGCCACATAGGAAGGTGCCTGGTTCAAATCTGGAGACCTCCCTAAGTACACCACATGAGTCCATGATCTAAGCTGTCTAACGGCGGAGAGTTGACTATAGCATCAAGACCACCTTAGGGTGCTGGCTGTCCTTGTCTGTCTGTCTCCCTCTCTCTGGAAAGAAATAACCTTTTAAAAAGTAAACGTTATGTCAAATTTCCTCACACTCTTTTATGTCTGTGACATTAAATTATAAAATACAGCATTGGTTTATATGTCTGCTGGTGTATCATGTATAACACTTAAATACAATATTTGTACATAATATATCATCTATACTAAACACTTTACTAGGAAACTTCTTATAATTGTAACTTCTTATATAATTGTTACACAGATTACATTAAACTTCTTATATAAGTCATTGTTACACAGGATTACATTAAACATGTTCATGTGTTTCTTACCTGGCATATTACTTTAAAAATTATTAAAATTGTAAAATTAAAATGATAAAATTCATTGTTACACAGAGTACACTAAACATTTTAATGTATTTCTTACCTGGCATATTACTTTAAAAATTATTAAAATTGTAAAATTAAAATGATAAAATTCATTGTTACACAGAGTACACTAAACATTTTAATGTATTTCTTACCTGGCATATTACTTTAAAAATTATTAAAATTGTAAAATTAAAATGATAAAATTCATTGTTACACAGAGTACACTAAACATTTTAATGTATTTCTTACCTGGCATATTACTTTTAAAAACATTACTTTCAGACAACAAATTAAGTTTAATCCATAATTTTCAGCTACTGCTCGGTGTCACACATTAATAAAATCACATTATTCTTCAATATTTACTTTGGAAAGCTTTGCAGTGTATTGAGTTGTGACAAGCATATTCTGAGTTCTAGCTCTGAAATGAAACTATGGCAGAAGATACTTAACTTGTTAAGTGTAATGAAGTGCTTTAGGACCACAGTGAGTTAACATACTCACAAAGCTGAGAGGATGCCTGCAAAGTTCTACAACTGTTATAAGAAATTAGCAAACATATAAGAAAAAAATATCTAAAATGTCTCAAACTGTTTGTTATCTTGGTGAGTATAAAGTTCAAATGAAATTGTTATAGGTCATTTCTAGGAGTCTAGCAAGAAATGATTTACTTTTTTTGTTATTGACAGATGGGACTTACGTTTATAGATATAACTTTTAGAATATATAATTATATCAGAAAAATGATTTTTAGATGAAGATTCTTAAATAAAAAATACATTTTAAATATTTTTAAATTTCATGTTACTGTATGAAGTCATTGTTTGAGTTTATGGAAGTGCAATTAAAACTCTTCAGGAGATACTTACCCTTTTCTGTTCTTTTACATACTCTATCAATTCATCTCTTGTTCTTTTCACTGCTTCTTCCACAGCCTTTTCACTTCGCTTTTGCTCTTCTATTATTGCTGCCTGAACAGTTTCCTGTTTATGGGAGGAGGAAAAACAGGGAGGTATGTACAATGACATAAGATCACTTTATATACACCAGTAATCCACTTCAACTAGTTCAACGACTCATTCTTTTGAAAGTGTGTCTTTAAACAGGAGTAAAAACTTACACAATCTTTTGGGATCTGTTAAGAGATTCCACAAAACTCCCTTCCTAAACTTAGTAAAAGGGGAAAGAAACGGAATAAGACATTTATTGCAGGGAGCGCCTGACAGACTCCAATGGCTTCCTTACCAACCTTTCATTTGATGTTTACATGATTGATTGCCTTCCTGTACTTTGCACTATCCACATAAGACTTCCAACTTGTGTTTATTCTTCCAAGAACACCCCAATGCTCTAGCTGTTTTATTCACGTTTAATTTTGCCATCATACAATAATCAAGTGTGGTCTGAGTGGTAAGATTTACAACCAGTTTGGTCCTCTTGCCAGGCTAAAATGTTGAGAGCTGGACACCATGAATAAGAGGTAAAAATTCCGCCCTGTGTGCTAATATTTGAAATGGGATCTCGAGAGAAAAGTGGTTGTCCCTATTTTGTGGAAATGCCTAAGGGATCTTAGACTTTTCAAAACTAAAGATAGAGAGAAAACTAAAATTTTGAAAAAAAAAAGCAACACTTTTCAAGAAGTAGCAATATGTTCTGCTATAATAGTATTGGATGGCTTAAGATGAATACAATAAACAAAATTCTTTAACTTCTATTTATTTAAATGGGTACATCCTTTTTTTGAATTGGACAACAAAGAAATCAATTAGAAAATGCCTTGAAGTTCCTCAGAATATTTCCTTTATTTTTCATTCTTTAGGGCTCTTCACTTACATCATGTTTTCCCTTAGTCTTTCTCAATTATTTTATGTCTACACATATATAAAACCCCCAAAATATAAATCATTATTATAGATTCTCTATTCTGAATACATTTACTTTTGAAAATTTGAAATACAGAAAAATATGAACCTAAAGTAATACACATATTTAGATATAAAAAGGATGAGAGAACCAGCAGTTAGTGTAATGGCTATGTTGCTGGACTCCCACGTAGTCGACCGCGGTTCGCGTCCTGGACCCGGTGGCTTAAAACTCACACCAGGCACGTATGCGTGCATGCCCAAGATCCAGAGAGGAAAATGGAGGAGAAGGGATTGCGGCGTGACCATCCGCCCTGGGGGGGTGATTTCTTCCTTTCTGTCTCTATGTCTCTGTCTGTCTGGCGAGTGCACGTGCCCTATAGCAAAAATCTCT